TTCTGAAACTGTACTGAACTCTTCAGCTGACTCTCAAATGGTTTAGCCAAATAAAAGTATATATAGACAGTGAAAGAAAATGTGGCAAAATGCTAACCATCAGTGGATGTAAGTAGAGGGTGTATGCGTGTTCAATGTAATATTTTTGCAACTTTTCAGTAGGCCTGAACTATTTCCAAATAAAAGGTTCTAGTTCGAAATCAGTGTTTGTCATGCTCACTCTCTTTAACCAATGAGTCACTATGGGAAGAAATTAATGAGAATAAGATTAATATTAAAACCAATTTGAAAACTGTATGATGGCCAAGCAGCTAATAGTGCTCAGCTGACAGAGGAAGTCATAAGCAAGTTCTACTACAAGCCGTATGCTCACCTGAAAGACATAGCTAGGTTTCATATAATTCTGCATGAAAATACACCATTCCCATTAACGTCAAAGGTTTGTTTTAAAGTGAACACTTCTTTTTCTACCTAAAATTAACACAAAATATGTTTTTGTGCTTCTAAAGAAGCAATTTCAACATCTTTTTAGGATATCGGCTAGAAGATGGTAAAAACAGATCACTACATATTTAACTTAACCTATAACGATTAAAAAAGCTAGAGAGAGAAAAATTTAACTAGTGTGAGCACCTCTCATTATGCATACTTGATTCTTTTGTAGCCTGAGTGTGAGCATCTCCAATGCTCTAAGTGTGAATCTGATGTTTAAAGACATGGACATAAGTTTTTAATTTTCCTTGACTCTATTTTTCTGCCTCTTTTGTAATTTAAAAATGGCACAAAATGTAATTTCTAAAGACTTTTGCATACCAAAAAAAACCCAAACCCACTGCCATTGAGTTGTAGTGGCTTTCGCACAGTATGTTAATTTATACATTACATGTACCGTACAAGGCTTTGCACCCAAAACCAGTGGTATTCTATGGTAATTTAAAGATATTCTGAAGAGGAATTTTCATTACACAAGATGTTTACATGTAGAACCTAAACCCCTATGATAAAATACCACTCTTACAAATCACTTATATTAGTAATTCAGATATCCGAGATTCATTCGTCACTCAATCAATATTTGATTGCCTAATACATACCAATATCTAATTGGGGTTAGGAACACTAGGGTAAACAAAAGACCCTAATGTCTTATGAAAGACCAAAAAATTTGACCACACTGAACTACTGAATTGGTGTATGTTTTGCTATGCACATTCTCAACAACAAAAATAAATTTTTAAAAAGTAACCAAACAAAATAAATCATTTTAAGAGCTAAGAAAGAAAAAACAGGATACTGTCAAAGAGAAAACCAGAGGGAGCCTGTTTTAGATATGACAGTCAGGGAAATTCTCTTTATTTCAGCTAAGATAAACTACTATGCAGGGAGAATAGCATCCTCAGTTCCAAGAGAATGCATAACTGACAAATAACAAGGTTCCTGAGCAAAGAGTCTACAGACGAATAAACCACTCCATCGGTAGCACAATATAAGAAGCCAAGGATTTGGCATCAAACTAAGCTCCACCATGTATTAGCTGTGAAACCATAAGCAAATTACTTAACACCTCTAGGTCCATTTTCTCACCTCAAAAATGGGACAAAAAAATGACCAGTGTTGCTGTGGAAATCCATGAGACCATGATTATAAAATATTAGTGATAAAATGCCCATGCCCTCAAAATCATTTTTAAATCATTCTAAAAGCTACCTACAAGAAATGGTTAAATATTTACCAATGCCTGGCTGTGACTTTAAAAAAAATACCATTGTAATCAAAGCTTGCAATTGAAAAAAAACGCTCATCACATACCTTACATACAAGTATCTGAGTTATGATGAACCACACTTACAGAAGTCAGTAAGTGTGATCTGAAACACTGTATCTTCCTGGGAGGAAGTTATTGAGAAAATGCATACAGGGGATATGGAAAAAACTGCTGAGTTATGTGAACATGCTCCAAGCATTTGATCAGGATAGTATGATAAAAGAGGTCAGTGGAAAAATCATCCATATGGCAAGAATGCTGAACTTAAAACTAGTTATGTCACCTATGTAAAACATAAAACAGCTCATAGATGGTGAAGAAGTGGAATTGACAGACCAGGACTTAATGGATTTTGAAGAGGAAAGAAATGCTAAAGAAGAAAGAACTAACGAGGAAGGAGAGAAGCTGTCAAAAAAATTTACAGTGAAAGGATTAGCTGGAGATTTTTCTAAACTAAATCAGGGGCTTTAGTTGTTGAAAACACAGACCCAAGCGCTGATCGCTTTACTAACATCGAAAGGCAGATTCGGGAAGCAGTAACATGTTACAATAAAATCCACGAAGAGAAAAAGAAAAGGACCATACAAACAATTCTCACTAATTTTCTTCCTTGAAATGCCATCCCCATTCTCAGGGATAATCCAGATGATGATGCAGAACCTTCTACAAGTGGAGTTATTACCCCAACTGACAAAATGCCAATGTCATCCAACTCTTCATCATCAGAGTAAACTTCTATGATTTGTATATTTTTTATGTATGCATTAAAATGTGTAAGTTTATACGTAATGTTTTCAAACCCCAAAGATAAAGACTGCATTTATAAAGATACTGATAGTAAAAGGCAATAATAATGAAAA